AATCACCCAAAATCAGCTACTATAATTCTTCAAACACCTGCCATAGATTCTAAAGAACCATTTATAGCATACCGAGAGCCTCTGATTATACCAATACAGGGACAGAAGAATTTTTTTTTGTCTATTAACTAGATTCACTCAAACTAGACACAGATCTCAGCCATAGAGGATCAACTCTTCACTACTGTAGAGCAGCCATCTAGGCAGTACACTGCACATGGGCTGTGTGTGTTGCAGAAGGAGACACCACTTCCTCACCACTCTGCCAGTTCAGCTAAACCACTGAACTTCCTGCAGTCTCTGCATCTCCATCCAACATCAGCTGCCAGAACTGCCTGTCAATGTCAATGCCAATGTCACTGACACTGACGGATTCCAGGGGAAGCACATGTCATCAGAACTGCTCTCTAGCTTTCCAGGACGGGCTCTGGACTATACCAATCTCTGGTACAACCCTCATGGTACAATCCTGGTACAACAACAAATACAAGTTGTTGGTGCCCAGAACTGGGAATCAGGGGGAAGGCTAGGCTGTTTGAAAACATCATTAAGAAGATGGTGTTAGATAGTGTTTCTACTCTTAGTGCAGTGGTTCACCACTGGTGGCAGAGAGCGGGCAAGTGTCTGCAGACATATTTGTCACAACTAGGGAGGTGCTGCTAAAATCCTACCATGCACAAATAGCCTCCCCACAACAAAGACTTCTCAACAGTACTGGGTGAGAAGTCCTATCTTGGGATCTCACCACATGATGATTCCAAATATCTCAAGCATATACATATATGATCCAGTTAAATAAATTCCAGAAACTCAGTTCCAAAGACCATTTTGATTGATATATCAGGTTGATGAGATGAAAGAGAAAACAAGCAGTGTGAGTTAAACTTGCTGACATAGCCTGTTTGATTGGTTGCTGTTGCTGGAAAAAAAAGACAAACTACCTTCCTAAGGTTCATCTACAAAAGGAGAAAGTTAGAAGAGATAGTCTATAGTTCCTTTGAGATGCAAAGTCCTATCTTTATAAGCATATCAGTTGGTTGAAATGCTAACAGACGCTAGGATTTTTGATAACTTTAAAAAATAATTTCTCTGTGAGTAAAAAATAATTTCTCTGTGAGCCTGAAAAGCTAAGACCAGATCGCTTTCCTTTATAATTGCATTCTCTATGAGATTTTTAGCAGTGTACATTAAATAAAAAGAGTCAAAACAACTAGAGAAATTGAAAGTATATAAATCTGCCATTCATGTGGCTTTCCAGCCCATGGTAAAGGTCTGACTGAGATAAACAGAAGAAGGAAATTACTACTGAGCTATTTCCCTTTCCTCACAAAGGTATAAAATGGAATGCGTAGAACCAGAAATGTTAAAACACCAACTCTGTTACCTGTTACATCACACTTTTTTCCGTGTCCGGCAACGGATTGCAACCCTCAGTGTTGCCCCCGTACCGGGCCGGGGACCGGCAACGGGATTGCAACCCTCGGTGTTGCTCCCGCACCTCGCTCAGCCAGTGAGCGGGAACCGGTCTGTATGTGGGATCCGAACCCTCGGGCGGGAGCGCCTCCGCGCTTCCCAAGCAGCGCACTATCCAGTGAGCCACTGGGCTGGCCCCCCCAGATCGCTGATAATTTCTCTGTGAGCCTGAAAAGCTAAGACCAGATCGCTTTCCTTTATAATTGCATTCTCTATGAGATTTTTAGCAGTGTACATTAAATAAAAAGAGTCAAAACAACTAGAGAAATTGAAAGTATATAAATCTGCCATTCATGTGGCTTTCCAGCCCATGGTAAAGGTCTGACTGAGATAAACAGAAGAAGGAAATTACTACTGAGCTATTTCCCTTTCCTCACAAAGGTATAAAATGGAATGCGTAGAACCAGAAATGTTAAAACACCAACTCTGTTACCTGTTACATCACACTCAGTGGTGACAACAACAGTGACAATTTGCTGTATTTTTTTTCCTCTGGTAGTTTACCTAAGAGGGTACTTCAAAAAGTTTGTAGAAAAAATGAATTAAGAGATAAGACAAATCTTTCCATAAACTTTTTGAAGTACCCTTGTACACTATTCTGGAAATGTTAATGCACCCTCTGAAAAACTACCTAGTTTTTTTAGCAGGGACTCTCAAAACAGAGTCTCTTTTTTTTTAATCCATTGGATCAAAAAAGGTGGCATTTTACTCAGACATATTAAAAGTCAATGCCTACAGACACTGCCAAATCTTGAAGTAATAGATTAAAAGAAGGTAGCATGATCATTCAAATAATAAGCACTGAAAAACAATTTCCACATCGCTCCTTAGAAGTACCCATCTTCTCCTTACAAATATATAAATATATAAGTATATATTACAAAAAAGTAACCAAGTTCCTGGGATCCTTTCAAATAGAAAAAAGTATATGTATAACTGAGGATGATTTCCTCTGTCTGAACTCCACCTGCACCACACCTGTTGCTACACACTTGTTGGAGCCATCATTTGAACTCTACATACTTCAGGGCACTTCACTGACTGGGTCACAAAGCAGAACACCAACTTTCTTCCACCTTACCCACCCCTGTTCTCATATCTCAAACACTGAACCACTGAGGCCTCCATTCAATAACTAGACTTTATCACTGAATAATAACAACAGGTCGTCTCCTACAGATCAAGTCTCCTCTGGAGACTCAGTGACCACAGGGCAGCTGGGATGTGGATTCTCCAAAAAACATTGGTATGGTCCAAATTTCATTTGCAATTCTTGTTTTGTAAGTATTTGTGTAAATATGTGTGTGTGTCTACATAAACTATCAGAAAAATAAACACTGAAATGTTAATTGTGGATACTGCCTGGAGTAGAAGACATGATTTTTTTTTCTTCCCTTTCTTTGTCTACAGCTTCCAACTTTTTCTAGATTAAGCATAATTTTTATTAAAAGAAAAATAAGTTATACTCCATATGTGTATGTTTTTACTCTCCCATTTCAAAAGCATTTAAGGCACCTTAAAAAAAAGAAAGCAACAAGTACAAAAAGATTTCTTTCAAAGCGAGGCTAGTTAGAGGCAAGGGCAAGAATGAAGAGCAGTAAAATCTAAAGAAGCCAAAGGTTAAAGCTTCATTAGCAGCACGTAAGCTCCAATGTCCTCTATACTGGCTGGAGGGAGGCGCACACTTAGCTCTAAGTTTACTGGCATCCGTAGAACATTTCTCCCCATCCTCATCTCACACCATCAGCCCTAATTAAGTTTTGTTTAGGGAAAGATAATGAAAATATATTTTGGCATTCCTTGAACACGCTCCCCTACAAGACCACACAGTCCAGAAATGTGCTGAGGGAGGAGGGGCTGTCTGCAAACACAAGCAACAGAGCAGTAACTGTACTGACCCATGACTCCTGGGAGAAAGCATCTGCTGTACAAGAGCTCAGAATCCCTAAACAGGTGTTGCTTTAACTTTCTAAAAGTGCCCCTCTGTGTGCAATTCACTGCCCATGAGGGCACAGGCAAGGGATATTCAATCCATGACAAGACCAATCTAGGGAGCCTCTAAAGAACAACACGTGCTCCATGGAGACGCAGCACAGCACTTACCGTAAGCCGTCATGACTCCAGCGTATGGCCCATCTACCACGTTCCTGTTCTCTTCTGCCAGCGCCTTGATGTACCTTTTGCTGAGGTCCAGGATCTGCTCGCGCAGCATGGAGCTGCTTTCAGGCTGAGTTCGCTGCTGGATGGTAAAATGCAATAGCATCATACCCCAAATGAAGCCAAAAGTCACAAGGAAAAAGCCCAGCTTCTGAGAGGATAACTTCCATGGAGTGAAGAGAGCCATTGCTCTCCGGCAACTTCACCTGCCCGGGGCTCTTAACGTGTAGAAGGTAGACCCAAATTCATGGTGTAGGCTGGGTGTGCGAGTCTGGTGGCCTCACTCTGGCTCCTGCGTCAGCCGATTTCCTTTCTTCACTCCCATTCTGCTGTGAACAAGAAGGAGAAAGTTAGCAAAGTGATTGTGGCAAAATAAAGCAGAAGCCAAGTTCTCACTCCAATAGCTGTACATAAGATAATGTCAACTAACCTCTTTTTTTAAATTTGCTGGTTTAATATCTTATGATTCGGGATGTGTAGGCTAAAGGAGAATCTGGCTAGGTGACAAGAAGCTGCCTTAGCAACACCGCTGGTGAGCCCAGGCACCCTGTGCTTTAGCAAGCCCTCCAGGTGATTTTGTTGCACGCTCAAATTTCAGAGCACCTGAGTCAGGCAGCCAGATTCCAAGTCCATATATTCCATCACTGTGTGATACTGCCACAACGCCGATACACTGAGGCTCAAACTCTGTCTTGTACTACTTTGTAACATACATTCCTCTACCCTGTCACACCCTACGCACCAGCTGCTCTGCTCACTGTAAACTCTGCACATCCTTCTGCAGGCATCTGTCTCCCCGTCTTCACTTAAGCTGCTCCTCCCACCTGGCTGGCCCTCTCTCTCTAGATTGTGCTGACAATCCAAACCCAGCCTGTCCTCCAAGCCTCAGCTCCAGTCCCACATGCTTCAGGCTACTTCCCCATGGCTCCAGCCTACAATGCTCTCTTCCTAATCTGAAGTCTTGAAACACTTATCTGTCCATGTTGGATTATTTACCAGTTTCTATGTGAGACTCCCTGACATCCTTTAAGGGACTCCACCCCCATACACACACACGCCCCTTCTCAGAGAAGAACATTGATCACAGGGGCATAATAAAATATCTGTTGACTAAGTAGACTTCTCATGGGGACACTATGGCCCATTGTTCTGCCCTCCTAGATGCTGGCCCGCTCAACAGCAGCTTCCTTCTTTCCCTCCTCCATTTGTGCTACAAGTATGTACTGAGTACTTGCTACCTTCAGGACCTGGGGACTGAATGCAAGGTGGAATACCTACCCTCAAGGGGCTGGTACTTTGAAAGCATCCTCCTAACTGGGCGCTGCCCCTGGTGCCTCAGGAAGTAGCTGGGCTTCCTTTTATAACCTACACTCATTAGTTCATTTTACCCCAGGGCTAAGGGGATTTTCCCAGGCAAGTAAATGAAGTGCTATACCAAGAAACAGTCTTCTTGTGATTTTCTTTTACTATTTTAGGTGAGTCAGGAATTACCTGTCAACTTTCAGACAGAAAGCCCTACTCTACCACCTCAATTAACGCACTGCTGAGACTGCTCAAGACTGCAGTGTTTAAGCAAAGGAAAGGCCAAGGGCCAGGAACTGAACAAGGGTTTGGGGCAAAAAGATAGACAAGAAACCAACCTCAAAGTGAAATTATTCCAGCTCAGAGACATGCACATTTGGAGTAAAAATCCTTAGCTATAAGGAGTTCAAAGTCCAATTCTGATTATTGAGGCCCAGATTTTAAGTGACTATAGAACTGCCCCAGGAATGTTCTTTTCTCAAGTGGAATCTAGAGTTTGAAATAACAGAAACTATATCAGCACGCACCCAGCACAGAGAGAATTTCATTAGAACTCATCTCTACGATTCCCATTAAGAAGACAGAATTTAAGACTTTTTAAAGCATTACCTAGGAGATGCCCCTATCTCCCACAGTAATGGGAAGATAATGATAAGGACACAGCACAGTCATCCTCACAGACAGTCTTGGTGCCACAAAAGGACTTAGTGATGATCATCAGTTATGGCCACGCAATTAATGGAAAGGCCCTGGACCAACCCTCCTAACAGCTGGGTCCTCCAGCTAAGTGGATCCAATGGGCACAAAAGGGACTATACAGTGTATCTCAGAAGACCTTGTTGCCAGCCAGAGTAATGACAGCCCAGGGCCACGACTTCATCAATGCACGTCCAGAAGGTTTGTACCAAGATTGTCTAGAATATTAACCATCTAATACACATCCCCTCTATTCCTCTACTTCCTCAAAAAGCAGCATTCACTTCCTTCCTTCCCATTTACTCCTCAACACAATAAGATCCAGCTTCCACCTCTGCGAAGGTGGTCAAAGACCTTTGGCAAGGAAATGTGTCAGTTCACCTAATTTAAAAAAAAAAAATAAAAAGATGCTCAACATTATTAGTCATTAGGGGAAATGCAAATCAAAACCACAATGCTCACCACTTCATACCCATTAGGATGGCTGTATAGATAAGAACAGCCGTGGGTGAGGATGTGAAGAAATTAGAATCCTCATATACTACCGGCGGGAACGTAAAACGGTGAGGCCAGTGTGGAAAACAATCTGGCAGTTCCTCAAATAGTTAAACATGGGGTTACCGTATGACCCAAGCAATTCAGTTCCTAGGAATACTCCTAAGAGACCTGAAAGCATACGTCCGTACAAAAACTTGTACACAAATTTTCATAGCAGTATTTATAATAGACAAAAAATGAAACAAATGTCCTTCAGCTGACAAATGGATAAACAAAACTCCTATATCCATACCATGGAGTACTATTTGGCCATAAAAAGGAAGAACTGTGCTACTACATGGGATGACCCTTAAGAACATTACGCCAAGTTAAAGAAAAAAAAAAAGACAGTCCCAAAAGACCACATATTGCATGATTCCATTTATATAAATGTCTGGAATAGGCAAATGCATAGAGGCAGAAAGTACACTAGTAGTTGCTTAGGGTGGGGGGTGGGTAGAGAATAGGGGAATTGGGGAGTGACAGCTAAAGTATGCAGGGTTTCCTTCTGAGGTAACGAAAATGTTCTAAAATTGATTGTGGTGATGAATGCATAGTTTTGTAGATATACTAAAAGCCACTGAGTTGTTCACTTTACGTGGGAGAACAGAATGAAATGTGAATGAGTCATACCTCAATAAAGCTTTAAAAAAAAAAAAAAAAGCAAGTACCACTTCTGAAGTTGCGGGGAGGAGGAACTGTACTTGGAGTAGGCAGATGAGCCTCTGGGCACACAGTGGCCTTTACCTTCCTTCCCCACTGCACAGCCAACACCTGGCTGTGCCTTCCCTAAGGGCTGACCAGGGGCCCTGCAACAGAAGGAAATGACAGGGTGATCTGTCTCCAGTTCACCAGACATGACTACCCCCTCCAGACTCACAGGCCACCCTTCAGACAGCTCCTGACCCACCCTATTGGGCAGATGCCCATTTCTGACACCACATGGAAACACTCGGAAAATCACCCCCATTCCAATGGAACAAGAACCAGACTAATGAAGCAGTTCCTTCAAGTGCCCGTCCCATGTCCTTGTAGGCCCCATTCCTTAAACTAGTATCTGCCTCTTCAGAGGATAAATGAAGATGGAAACTGCCATCCATTCTTTCAGAAGCAATGCCAGCCCCAAACACAGAGATTGGTCTCTTCCAACAGCACCACAGGACAACACCATCCCAGCTCACTGGTGCCACATTCACATGGGACCACACTGCTGTAACCTAGTCAGTCACAGACCTCTCCTGTCCTCGCAGCGTATCGCCTGAGCCACTTCATATCAGTCTTTAAGTGGTGGCCTCATCCTGTGCAATAACATTCAAGAAATCCTCAGTCAGCTGTGCTTATCCATGTTACCTTGGGAAATCCCACCCAAATCTCCAGCCTCACAGCTCAACCCTGCCTCCTGCATAAAGCCTCCCATGGCACCCCAGACTGAGGAGAGCTCTTCCTCCTTGGAGTACGCACAGGAGTCTGTGCTCCTTATAAAGAGCTTCTTACGTACAGCTCAATAGGACAATCCTGTTTCATCTCTCCTAAGGGGTCTGTGAGACCCCCAAAGGCAAGAAATGCAGGCAATGGCCATGTCTTGCACACAGAGGATGGTTACTAAGCACTTCCTAGAGGAAAGGGCAGGACAGTGGGAATGAGATGAAGACACACAAATTAGCCACAACATCCATGGCTTCCTCTGGCGTGAGCCACACACAGAACCCGGGCACCCTGAGACTACATCTGCACATGACCTGTTGGAAGATTTCACCCTAAGATCTTGTTCCTCATAAGTGAAAAGTCAGTGTTTCCTTGAGTGGATGGGAGTAAACTGAAGTGGATAATGCCAGTGAACAGGTAATTAGAATAAAATGTGGGGAAAGTTCCAGAAAAAAATTCTAGAAGAGCAATGCAGTGAGACTATGGGAACAAAAAGATGTCCAAGACAAGGGATGGGAGGGGATACAAGCGAGAAAACCCTCTGTGGAGGCTGCTGGATTCATCACTGTTTTGCCAAGGTAATCACAGGAAAGGACACCAGAAAGGGTGATGAGAAGGAACTGAAAGAACCCCGCATCGAAAGCCTGGAAATCTCTGACCCACAGCTTCCTCCACCCACTGGCCCTGTGTGATCCCAGACAAGTATGCCCATCTCAGTTTCTGTATGTATAAAATGGGGAAAGTTCTAGAACATAGAACACTGGTAGAGCTGGATCAGTGATCCAAGTTACTGGTTCTCAAACTGTGTTCCACAGGACTTCAAGGGTTCTCAGAGATGTTCCAGAGTTTCCAGAAATGTTTCATCTGAGTTTTTCTTTTTGTTGTTTAAAATATGTTCTTTTAAAAATATTTGTTAAAAAAAGTTTTACATGCCAAATTATGAGACACTGGAGATAATCAATACCCATCTTAATTTGTGTTGCAGAGACTCAGGAACAAAACTGCCCTAACCTGTGTACATGGAGTTTGAACTTCGAATTTCTATGTAACTGGTCAGGAAATTAATGTTTGGAGGTGGTCTTATTTGCTTATTCTAAATTCAGACCCACATATCCATTAACATAAAATTTTACAAATGAGAACTCTACTATATCCAGATTAAATACTAGGTAAGGATCTGTCATATATTGTAAGTTTCAGAAGCTTCTTGCCTGACTCTCACATTCTAAGAAGTTAAAATCATCTTTAGATGTTAATGATTTGATTTTGTAACAATTTCTACTACTTTCCTTTCCAGTTTCTGCCTCAATTTATATTAAGAGCAACTCAGAGTGCTTGGCAAATTGTTTTCAGAAATAGTGGCAAT